TACCATGGACATAACAGAGTATACTGTTTCGCCCATGATACCCCATACGTTGCCATTCCTGAGGACTCAGGTGTTATTCCTCTGTACCGTAAAATGTACAGTAAATTTACGCCATATCCCACCCTTCAAACCGAAACACAGCCATGCAAACACAACTGCTTCACGGTTGAAACACGAATGGGACAGAGGTACCCAAGCAATTGACTTTTGTACAAAGTCTCCCTCTGGTCCAATCCATAATCTTGAAATTTTGTAATAGGTTCTTTATATAATGTAGGAGAACAATAAAGAAGGAATTTTTAAGATTCAACATTTTCAAAATCCACGCGTGCAACGCGCAGCTAAAAGCTAATATAATAAAATTTTCAATTATTAATTTTAATTCACTGTGTTTACACAACAAATATAAATCGGTCGTATAGTGTGAAATGAGATATCACTACTGCCTATAATCGAGTCACGAGGACTGGCCGCAGAATACTCCCGCGCTCCACCTTATCACGATCATTCGATTGTTTGTTGTTGTGTTTACCACTCGTCGGCTGTGGGAGCTAGTGCGTTCAACGTTTTTAATTATATCAAGAGAATACACCGCGGTTGTTAACATTGGATTTTGTGACATTGGGTTATTAAAATTGTGTACAAGGTGGTATACATTTGTGGTTTAACATCGGTGTGTGTATTGCATGTTATGTGTGTGTGTGTGTGTGGTAACACATAACATATATGTGTTGTGTTATTTTCTCATATTCAAATTATATAAATATATACAATAATTATGGAGTGAAACCAAAATATTAGCATTTCCATCAGTATAACTAAACGTAGGCCGGAAAATTACAAAAAAAAAGCGTACTTTCAAACTAGATAGCTGGGCGTACCATATTAGTGAAGAAGGTACAAATCTTTTGACGTTTATTTTTTATATTTTAACATACAACACAGTACGATAGATCACTTCCTCAAAAGTATACAAAGTCACGATTTCACCCTATATATAACAATTGTATATTTTTTAAATTTCTCCACCGTATTATATTTGATTTGTAGTATATATGGTGTTTGTGAAAGGAGTAATAATACCTATGCGTTTAGCTGATTTATGTGCTTGTGGTATAGAGTATACATACATAGCAAGGATGTGGAAATGTATTTATTATCATCATGTACTAAATATTATTATCCTAGAATTTGTCAGTATTTAAAGTACACACACCCAATATAAATATACACCTAGTAAAACAATTTAGCAGTGTAGTATTTATAACATAAACATCTCCAAAATAAATTGTGTAAAAGATAGAATAATTGTGACTTACTGCTACGCTTATTACTTAATGCTATGCTTATTAAGTCACTCTTTTGTACCATTTTTTCTTTTGGTCTATAAAATTATTTAAATAAATTGGTTACTTATTATTTTCATGTAAGGTATCGACATAAAAATGACTAATTAGCAATTTTAAAGCTATAAAAATACATATTATATAGTTCGTCTGTGGAACTCACTACCTACCTCTATACGGTGCGCTCAATCTCTCGCTAGTTTCAAAACCTCTGTTAAAGCCCATTATCTCTCCCTTTAAGTAACTATTTTTTCCCATGTTCTATCTTCATCTTCCAGTGTCACTCTCTCCTGTTGTATGTGTACTTTTAAGTTTGTGTATGTTTATGTATGTATTTGTTTATGTATATATATGTATATACATGTATATGTATATATCTTTGTATATATTTGTTTATATATAATTAGTACTAATATAATAGTGCGCCACCTACCCTTTATTTTTCTTTGTTTTCTCAATGTTCTCTACGCAAAGGTTGTCTGGAAGAGATTGCTTAGCGATAAGACCGCCTTTTGTATCATTTCTTATTACAGTTAAATGTGTTTACTATTCTATAAATGGTGCAATAAAGTGTACATAAATAAATAAATAAATAAATATTATTTGCTAAATATATTTCCGTTTTTCCTCGCTTGGTATACCAAGCGAGGAAAAACGGATTATCGTTGAACACTAATATTTATTTATTTATATTTTATTGGACCAGGATTACAGTTATAAGGTGAAGTGAGTACAAGAGGCGATCTTAACGCTAGACGATGAGGTCGATACATCATCATCATCTATGTCTATTTCTGAATATAGCCCTCCCCCCACCCCATAGACTGTCATCAAGTCGATTGTGAGGCGATAATTTAAAAGTAAAATTTCAATTTGATATGACAGCGAAATTTTTATTAATATGAACTCATTTTCTAATAGACTTAAGACAAAATTATTGTAATTTTAGTTCACGATGGCCCATCAAATAGTAGTTTTGCGAAATTGTCAAATTAAAATATATTAAGAGATAGATTTAGAGAAATGGCACCTCAGAATCGGCCGCAATTTCTACGTATCATAATTGTTTATTGGTAAGTTTTATGGTTAGCATTTAATTCATAGGTAATTTAATGCCAGGATCAAATTTGTTCCGGTCATTGATATAAAAAGAAACAAAATGTAAAATCAAAAATCATAAAAAGCTGCATTAAAAATTAGGCTTATTTAGGCTTATTTCTTACTAGCCAGTAAGATTTGTGTTCAAACTTGACAAAATATGCAAATTTTGTGAAATATGACGTCTAGTTACAGAGTTTTTGTATATTTGGATTTAAATACTCATGCATGCATATAATTTAATTATTTTTTTTTTTACTTTAATTTTTAAATCTTAAATGTAACTTTTTTTATGTTAATGTAATTTTTGCTTTTTTTTTAAATGCTTACTTTATTATATTTGATTTGATTTTATACGTTGTAGGGATACGTAGGGTACGTATCACTGTTTGTGTCTAAAATTCTCATTATTCCTAGACATTGAGTTACTCAAAAGAATTAAATTAAAGTATTTAAAGTACTTAAAGAACTTGAATTCCATCTAATATATAAAGGCGAATAAATTGCCAAAACGTTTTTTATTTTTTAAACTGCTCAGATCATCTAATGTAAATTACTAATAACAATTACTAGTAACGTAGTATACTTTCTAAACAAAGATAAAAGACCTGTATTATCAATATTTAGTTACCTATGTACACTAGTGTGCTCCATTTAATGGTAAACGTGTCATGTACTGCACAATTGTTATATTAATCACAATCTGTTGACGTTATATTACCTACTTTTCGTTATATCACTCTTTTGTATTCAATATTTATTTTAGTTTCAAATTATATACCAATATTATTAATGACCTAATAATTATTTAAAATAGATAAGATATTTATTTAAATTTACTCAAAGAATTAATCAGTATAATAGCTGTAGGTTTATAGCCTGCCACATTGTAATATGCGTTAAATTCTAATATCTTTGGTGAAACGTGGACAGATAGAAAATATTCCATTCTCCACAATGGCATAGTTGACAAATGTCTTTGATAACTCTATCATTAATTTAAGCCTGGAGTATTTTTTTTTATTTCTTTGTTTTATTTGTATTGCTTATAAAAAATAGTATGATTACAATGAGATATTTATCTAAATGTTGTTGAAAATTTTTAAGTTTTTAAAACGTACTCTCTCTATATTTGTTTGGAAACTGTAAGTTAGTAATTTATATTTAAATAAATAAATAGATCAATATATGGTATAATAGGTATTAATATGTCAAGCGTGTCGATTGAATCATTATTTTGTAGCTTAACATAAAGATAAAATGTATGAAATGATAGCGAAAGTTACACAAACTCAGTTATATGTATTTTATATAATTATGTTAACTATTAGAAAATATTAGAATTACGCCTGGTTTACGCCCACTAATGATGGACTGTCCTTTTTTTGTTCACGGATTCGTTGATGAAATTTATACTTTATCTCAATAGCATTAGAGTATTTCTTTGATTGTTTTCAAGTTGGAGGCTAGCGTAATTATTTCATATATTTTTTGTTCATATTAATTGTTAATTAAATTTCAACAGATCTTGAAATTAATTGTTGAATTACACAGTAACAACTGAAATTGTTTCTGTGTTAATTTAATTATACAATATCTAATAATAAGGGATGACCAGAATAATGATGATTTAAATCCTCAGGAATGGTAACGCAAGGGGGGTATCATGGGCGAAACAGTATACTCTGTTATGTCCATGGTACTGCTCATGTCTATAGGCGACGGTTACCACTTTCCATCAGGTGGACCGTCAGCTTGTTTGCCATTCTAAGTTGTATAAAAAAAAATGTAAGCGAGTGTGTATTTCATGCCGTCTTCGGTTCAACGAATCGTCGTGAAATATAGTAGGTATACTGTCAATCAATATATGTCGGTCACGCGGATGAAGTCGCGGGTAAAAACTGCTAATAAATCATATCATTTGCGTGGCAACGGAATAAAGAATATTATCATTGTTAATCAATCTAGAATTCTGATAATAGTCGAATATAGGAAAAAATCATACACCAGTACACGTGAAGAAAAACACGAAGTAAAGCCCTATATCAAGGTATTTGGTATTATAATGGGTTATATATAAGCATTCTAAGTACAAGAGCAAATTAAGAAAACGAATAAAAACATGCCACACGAGAGGGATGCTAGAGCACAGAACGGCCTTTTAAAAAATTTAAAGCGCATTTTTAAGATCCCACATTTTTTTAACGCAGAGAAAAACCTCAAAGTTTTATCGAAATAACAGGTCCGTTAGCACATCGTGACGAATTCCACTAGAATTAACCTCGATGGCTTCCAGGGGAAACCACGTGGAGGTCGACCGCGTGGAGGTAGGATGTATTGCTAGCAATAGGTCAGTTAGACCCCATTACTAACAATCCCTTTTCCCCCACAATCGCAGCTTTGTTTTAACAGGGACACTGCTGCCAATCCCTCGCTCTCCCTTAGTCGCCTTTTACGACAGCCACGGGCGAGGAAGGGGTCGCCTATTCTATGCCGGGACCACACGGTACTGTTGTAATATTGTCATATTTACAAATTGTTATTTATCTTCCTCAGGTTGTTTCGCGAAAGCTTTTGAACGCATTCCGCGTTCCATGGCGTCGTCGTTGGTCGGCGAGTTGAGCGCAGCGCCATCTATGACCGGGTCCCTAACCGAAACGTTGGGCCCTGCTGTGCCTTCAATGCAGCTTATGCATGTTTTGGAGTGCACTGTTGATATTAAAGAGACTGATGCAAAGGTTTGTTTGAAAGTTATTTTGTTAAAATTTGTAAATGTAAAAAGAAAAATTATATAAAATTAAATACATATTTATTATTACCGTTTAATCACAATGATAAGAAACGAGTAGATAGAAGCAAATTGAAGAGGTAAATGTCCTATTAAAGATTTATGTTGATATTGTTTCTTATATTTACAGGGAACATTTAGTCACGTACCCAAAGAGCGTCTCGGCTTCAAGTTAAGGGGCGGCATAGATAAGCAAGTGACGATCAACGTACAGCAAGTCACCAACAATGTACAGATTGAGCCGGACGATTTACAAGTGAGTTCTATAATCATTGTATATTTCTATCCTCTTATTCGTAAAAATATTGTTTAAATTATTATTATTTATATTTCATCAGACCTCATACATTGGCGGACTGTACATTGAAAGATGTTTCGGTATACTCCTCGCGCCGGGCCGAAGCGTGAAACACTCCGATATGAGACTGTTGGAAATGGTAAGTGTGACTCGTAACAACTGTTAAAAAGTTTAACGGAACTTGGTATGGCAAATAGACTAATGGCCGACCTGATGGGATGTGGTAACCGCCTTCTATAGAAGTGGACATCATAGAAAGTGTTATGACACCTGAAGACTACGATGTTTGTTAGTTTTATTTTTTATGGGTGAAAATGGAATGGTAACCCCGCCTGCGCTAACGGGATACGCTGGCGGAGCACCAGTGAAGGGTGATAGATGAGAATGAAAACAAGCCGGTTAGCTCATCATGATGAATTCATCAGGAATTAACCATGATAGTTTCCAGGGTGAACCGCGAGGAGGTCGATCTTTCTTTCTTCCCGATGTTTGTTAGTTTGGGGTAACAACCCTATTATTATTTTTTAGATCTGTCTAGCCTTTGCTTGCAATATAGGGCATATTCATAGTTAGGTTGACTTCCACGCGGCTCCTCATGGAAACCGTCGTGGTTATTTCTTGTGGAATTCGTGACGATGGGCTAATAGGCCTACTTTCATTCTCATTTATTTAAAAAAATAAACTGCTGGCTTTGTAATATCCTTGCTGTATAGTTACCCTTCTGAAACATAGTGAGTAAAGCTAATTGGCATAAGCATAAATAAGACAGCAAGTCAAGCAAATAATTTGATACAAAGTGTCCCCATGTTTAATACATTTTATCTTCATTCGCTTCACAGTAATATGAGTATGAAGGCGAGCTTACACTCATTTATATTGTATGGTAATTTTTGTTCCGGTATCGTTTTTAACGAAGTATTGGTTGTAAGCGTGGCAACTTGTACAAAAGTCGATTGCTTGGGTACCTCTGTCCCATTCGTGTTTCAACCGTGAAGCAGTTGTGTTTGCATGGCTGTGTTTCGGTTCGAAGAGTGGGATATGGCGTGAATTTACTGGGTACAGAGGAATAACATCTGAGTCCTCAGGAATGGCAACGCAGGGGGGGGGGGTATCATGGGCAAAACAGTATACTCTGTTATGTCCATGGTACTGCTCATGTCTATAGGCGACGGTTACCACTTTCCATTAGGTGGACCGTCAGCTTGTTTGCCATTCTAAGTTGTATAAAAAAACTACTGGCAAAACTCCCCAGGCTTATGTTCAGCAGTCGACAGTTAGTCTGATATGGTGATGATGATGATGATTAGTTATATATTTTATGATGCCAAGTAGGATCACATGCCCGATCGGTCTCGAGCCACATGAAGTACTCACATGAATCAATATATTCCTATGCAACTAAATTCCAACATTAGTTACATTTTATTTTTACAATTTTCATGATGTACTTTAACAACTTACTCTCCGTTGGTTGTGAGTATGTTTATTTGTATTGGTCTGTGTTTTCTATGTATATTATGCATTTACATAAAAAACACAGCTCAATACCAACATTTAAAAAAAAAACATGTCAAGTAAACAATACAAGCTCTTAGTTTGGGGTTAGATGGCGCTGTCTAATAGTTTTTTTTTTGTAATGGGTGAAAATGGAATGGTTACCCCACCCGCGCTATTGGTATACACCGGCGGGGCACCAGTGAGGGATGATAGATGAAGATGAAGCAGGTCAGTTAGCCCATCGTGACGAATTCAACAAGAATTGTTCACGATGGTTTCCAGGGGGAACCACGTGGAGGTCGACCTGATATTGCTAGCAATGTCGAACTCCATTGCTAACAATCCCTTTCCCCCTGTCTAATATGTTCAATGGTATTTATCCAGGTGAGCGGTTCAGCAGGCGGGTCCAGTTGTTCAGTTTGCGCGCTCTGGAACGCGGGCGAGTCGGCCCTGGCTGCGTTCAATGTAGCCAGCGGGGAGGGTGCGCCGGCCTACATGTCGCTCGCACTCGACCTAGTCATTAGAGGCATACCGGATCCATTGCGGTATGTACATAGTTTAACGAAAACAATATAAGAAAAGTAACGAGTCATCAGTATGTAATGGCCTTTATGAATTAATTAGAATTTTGAATTTGGAATCTATGAAATTTAGCGGCTTTTTCCAAGAATAACGTGGGACGAAATTTGAAAATAATTTTCGGACCTTCCTATTGTTGGATTTTTGATTGTATTTACATTTTTTATTTATTATCAATGCTATAAATTGAATATCTTTTTAAATGGATCGAATGATGTCATTTGTTGAATTAGTTTGTAGCAAAGATATTATAAAATACTATATTTCTACCATGAAGCAGTTGTGTTTGCATGGCTGTGTTTCGGTTTGAAGGATGAGATATGGCGTGAATTTACAGAGTTTAGAGAAATAACACCTGAGTCCTCACGAATGGCAACGCATGAGGGGTATCATGGGCGAAACAGTATACTCTGTTATGTCCATGGTACTGCTCATGTCTATAGGCGACGGTTACCATTTTCCATCAGGTGGGCCGTCAGCTTATTTGCCATTCTAAGTTGTATAAAAAAAATTGTGCCATAGTTAAATGCAGGTGACTCAGACACTCAGGACTATTCTTTCAACCTACAAGGAAGTTCAGTAGTGGATAATGAATGACTGAAATGATGATGAATGATGGTATGCATAATAGGTATGTTTATTATGTACCTACCTAATGCTCATATTGTTATCAAAGTGATATGATAACGAATTTATTATTAGAAACAGTATTATTATCACAACTTGCAGATTTATGGTATAAGAGCCCATGGAATGGTATTAAAAGATTTGCTACCTTTGTTTCAGGTTGGTAATTGAAACCCCAGTAAAAATCTTTCCGCCAACAGAGAGATTTTGGTACTATTTTAAAAGGCCGCTCGTGCAACAGTTCTACATAAATCTCAAAGAAGTAAGTATGGTTTTAAATGATAATAGCAATATTCGAAAACATAATTATATATATTAAAAATCAATTTTGCTTCTCCCTTAGAATACAGATACATTAGGCCAGTTGCAATATGAAGTGGCAAATGTGGAGACGTCGGGGGAGCTGGACAGATCGCGGCTGAACCTTCCGCTGTCATTGTCTAGTCTGCTCCCTTCCCCTTTATCCACCGCGCCCGCACCGCCATCCCCTTCAGAACCGGACTCAGGTATGCAGTGATATAAAACATGAGAGTTGGATGCCAATAAATTTTATCATTACAGATGTTACATATTGCAATCTTTTCCATTTACAATTTGAAGTAAAATTACATGTTAACGCTAAATGTAAGCGAGATAGATAGATTGAAGTATTTTTTTTTATGTTTTTCTTTTCCTACCAACTGTTTCTTCTAGTAAGTGATGGTTATATGAGTTTTTTATTTTTTTCAATTTTGTGTAATAATATCCAAACTGTGAAGCAGCTTGTTTTTCCCTATGTGTCATTTTATCTAACTACACATATCTATACAGGTCACTCTATAATTTTGCCTATTACTATTTTTGTCAGATGGCGATGAACCTTTATTAAGTGGCACTGGTGAAGTATCAAAAGACTGTGGAGAGGATGTTTTAGTCAATTGGGCACAAGTTCTCAGGAGGTACGATATATTATTTATATTCATCACGATATCATATATAATGATCGAGGAATGGATAGCAGCATCCCTCTTAGAACATAACCAAAGTCTAGCTACGGTTGCTAATCCACCTGCCAAGCGTAGCAACTACTGGTAAAACTTCCCTTATGGAGAAAGCTTATGTTCAGCAGTGGATGGTTATTAGCTGAAATGATGATGAATGTGGAATAAGACACAAATTATTAAAATAAAACTTTAAACAGTTGGACCGGCCCTCGTCCTCGCGCTCTAAATCAGCTGGTTCGCGTGGGTGTGCCGGAGGCGTTGCGAGGTGAAGTCTGGCTGCGTCTCGCTGGCATCGACCAAAACGACAAACTTATGGAGACCTATAGAACACTTATTAGCAAAGTGAGTACTATTCGTTACGTACAATCTAAGCCCCTCCCCCATCACCTCCGCCCTCTCTAAGGGGATAGTCTGGATCAAATCTTGTGATTTATATTGTTGAGTGTATTCAACTATTTCAATATAAATTAAATTGTTATTCTCATTACAGTTTATTTGAGTTTAAAATATACCAAATATGTAATCTTTATTTATTGGCTTGTTTAATGCAAAGAACTTGAACCTAAACCTAGTCTTGATTTTTTATATAATAATCCTCTTATTCTAAAAACAAAAACCTTCTATTTCTATTATAGTGTTCTGTCTGTTTTTTTTCAAATTAGGAATTTGACGTGAAAGAATAAGGTTTTTTTTTTTTTTATTTTTTAAAGCTTTTATTACAAGAATCAATTTTTTTTGTGCCCTATAAACTTTTATATTGGCACTGCACTATCACGTTCTTTCCAAGATATAGTATCTATATATCGCATTCGCTGTCTACACATTAATATAATACAATTATTTTCATAATTAAATGAACGCAGCTAAGATGAAACAGTAGTTTAATAAGGGTTATGTGACGTTTTGCGAGTAAGGGGACGTTTTGATAGCCGAGAGGTGTATAGTTCCCGTCACTAAAAATGTTTTCCCCTCAAGGACTGTCCGTTCGAGGCGGTGATCCAGCGCGACATCGCGCGCACGTTCCCCGCGCACGACTTCTTCCGCGAGGCGGGCGGGCTCGGCCAGGACTCGCTGCTACGGATGGCGCGCGCGTACGCCGTCTACGACCACGAGGTCGGCTACTGCCAGGGACTGAGCTTCCTCGCCGCCACGCTGCTCCTACATGTCAGTACATACTACGCTTTGTTGTTATTTTGTTGACTTTATTATAGGAATATTCTATGTGCTGTTGTTGATTTATTTTTGTAGTTTGGAGGAATTAAAACAAGTAAAAACTTGTTCGCTACATTTGTTGTTTATGCGAAAAAGAATGCACCCTCTCTTTATCTTTTCTTCACCCCTCTCTTTCTCCCTATTCTCTCTTTCTCTTTTGCTCTTTCTTTCGCCCTCTCTATTTTTTGGGCTCTCTCTCTCTATCTCATTTTAACAAAAAAAAATATATAAACTATCGATATTTTTTATGTGAATATCTATAAACCAATTTTTTTAATTATTTTTGCAATATTCACCTTATCGAAAATACTGCGCAAGTTGCGCTGGCATAACTTTTACATATATTATTTAAGGACCCTTACTATTTTAGTACTCTGTATTCGTTCATGTTAAAATAAAAAAAAATAGTGTTATTGTGGTACCAATTCTTATTATAGCCCTTTAGATAATTTATTTATTTACAAAATAATTTTGTATTTATGTAAATGTTTTATCTTAGATGCCGGAGGAACAGGCGTTCTGCTTGTTAGTGCGCCTCATGTACGGATATGGTCTACGTGAGTTATACAAGGACGGTTTCGAGGCTCTATACATGAGGTTACATCAGCTGGACAGGCTTATGGAGGTGACTTTTGTTTTATTTTACTATTGTTATAATTATTATTTCTATGTCAGAATATTTTATTAATTTTAAGCTTCTTAAAAGTGAAGCTTTATACAGAAAAATCTATAATTTTACTGTTAAAGTTCACAATAGAATTAAGTAATATTGTATTCAAGTTGTGGATTGACTTGAGTAGGCACAGATACCATTGTATTACCAATAATCGTTCTGAAGTAATTTTAGTCTAACCACAAGAAGGGGCAACGTGTTGTATGGAAATCATAATGTCACAGTCTAAAGAATAACTAGTGGTCCATGACTGAGCGTGTTCCTAATGATTACATGCCAATTCGGGACGCATTGCTCTCTCTAAACGTATTTTTTTTATTTATTTATTCTTTATTGACCACATTACAAAAAAAAAAATGTCTGGTACAAAAGACGGACTTAATACTATATAGCATTCTCTCCCAGTCAACCTTTGGCTAAACAGAAATTTTAATATGCGGTGAAAAAAATTACAACACATACAATAGAGATTATATAAATATACATACATGAATACATTAAACAAATATTACATAAATATACAAATATGTAATAAAAATACATACATACAAATTATTTACATATATAAATATACCTACATACTTATAGATTATATACGATAACACTCTAGACGTATCCATTATTAATATCTAGTGTAGTAGTAATATAATAGTGCTAGAGTTTATTTGAACGTGCTAACTTCTAGAACTATTATTTATTCAATTAATTCCTTAAAGAATATATAAGCTATTTGCCACCATGTGGTCCCGGCTTAAACCCCTTAGGGGGTTTGCCAGTAGTTGCCGAGATTGGCAGGTGGATTGGCAACCGCAATTGACCTTTAGAGATGTTTTAATAGGGATGCTGCTGCCCATCTGTCGCTCTCTCTTAGTCGCCTCTTACAATAACTACGGGAAAGGAAGGGGTGGTCTTTCCTATGCTGCGACCACACGGGAATATGCCATATATGAATACCACAAATGAATACTATATAAAAAAATATTATTCTTGGTTATGTAAAACTTGGTATGATTTCAGGAACAACTGACAGATCTCCGCGCACACTTCCTAGAGCTGGGCGTCGAGACGCACATGTTCGCGTCGCAGTGGTTCCTAACAGTGTTCACCGCGCGGTTTCCCTTACCATTGGTATGTGTTCAGTTTTAATGCGCCTACACATACAAGTGATAAGCCGTGTCGCTTTTTTTATTATTCGGATTATTTTGAATGAAATAATTATAGCTTTATTGTTCCTTTAAAGAAAGAAACAGCTATATAAAAATATGTATATATTAATTAATGTATCCTACAAACAAAAAAAAAACTTTAATTGTGACAAAATTGTAGTCGGTTATTTTGATTAAAAATTAAAGTACTTAACCGATTTTGATAAAATTTCTATAAGATCAATCTGTAAGTATATCCTTTCAGATAAAAAAAAAGAATTTTCTATATTGATTTAAAGCTGACGGACTTATGAGGAAATAAGCATAAAAAATAATCACCAAATTGATAACTTCCTTATTTTTGAAGTCACTTGATTTGTTTATGTATTATAAATTCAGTTTTTAATATTATAATAAAAAAAAAAAACTAATTTCGATAATTCCAGGTTTACCATATTTTGGACGTGTTCCTCTTGCAAGGCATGGACACATTATTCCAAGTTGCGCTCGCTCTACTCTCACGTTCCAAAAAGGATTTATTAACACACGACTTCGAAGGAGTACTGAAATATTTTAGGTATTTAACACTTTTGTTATTTTTTATTAGATAGTAATAGACCAATTTGCCGAGTGGTCCAGGCATAGAATGGACTACCCCTTCTTTTCCTGTTGGGTGTCATAAAAAACGATTAAGGGAAGTTAATGGTTGAACGATGGGCAGCAACGTTCCTCTTAAAACCCCTCCAAAGCCTAACTGCGGTTTCCAACCTACTTGCCAAGCGTGCTTGCTATTGGCAACCAATGGGGGAGGTCTATGTTGAAGAGTCGACGGTTAACGGCTGACATGATAACGATGAATAGACCGATTTAGTTACTAACATATGCATGGATAGATATTTTTGAAAATACAGTTTTAAATTAATTAAATTTAAATAAATTACAATTTTTTTTTATATTGACATGGATACAGAAAAAATACTTGTCTGCCTATTGGTTATCTTTGTCAAATATATTATTTATTTTACTCTTGGTATTTTTTTATGCAACTTAAAATGGCAAACAAGCTGACGGCCCATCTGATGGAAAGTGGTAACCGTTGCCTATAGACATGAATAGTACTGCATCACCCATGATACCTTTCAAGTGTTGTCACTCTTGAGGACTAATGTGTTATGTCTCTGTACCCTGTAATTTCACTGCCATATTCCACACTTCAAGCCGAAATACAGCGATAGAAATACAACTGCTTCACGGCAGAAACACGAATGGGACAGAGGTAATAATAATAATAATAATTTTATTCAAGAAAGATACAGTTGCATAAAGAAAAATTTAAAATTTTTACAATTTATATTCAACGAAAAGAATATCTGCATTACCATCAGTGCCCAAACTAGGCCAGACCTATATCTTGGGTACTATATAGGTACCAGACGACTTCTGTACAATGTTACTCCCTCTGTTCTTTTTTTTTATAAATTATTATTTAATAAACCACACTAGAAACATGTAAATACATAATTAGTATTTTTTTTTGCTCTTAATTCTAATATTAAACTTGCGTTCACAGAGTGACTTTACCAAAGAAGTGCCGTGCAGAGGAGTCGTCGCGACAGATCGTGAAACTGGCGTGTAGCACGAAAGTGAAACGATTACATAAGTATCAATTAGAATACGAAAAGTTAGTTAAAGGTAGTTAAATATACATTTACTATGGTTTTATGGTAATATATAATTTTAGTATTATTTATTTGTAAACAAAATTTAATCCCCTATTTAAACCTCTCACTAGGTAAATTTTCAATAATCTATTTATTTATTTAACATTTAATTGCACCAATAATACTGGATTTGTTGAAAAATTTTCAAAATATTTTTTTGTTTTATTATTTTCTATTAAATAATGAATTCTAAGGAAGTACCAAGTGTTTTTATTCTTATATCTTTGATATTTTTTGTAGGAAATTAATATAATTTTCAATAAATATATATGTTTATCGTCAAATATAAAAAAATTTCAGAGTCTGCCGAAAAAGAGAAGATTAATGTGGAATTGGAAAGACTTAAAGGCATAAATACACAGCTACAGCAAGATAAGGATGCGCTGGAGTCGCAACTTACAGAGGTAGGATTATATCCTTGTAATTTAAAAAATGTATATAATAATATTTATATTTTTGGGTTTAGTGTAGGTTATGTGCTCGATTTATATGGATGCTCTGTTTGTATCTTGAAATCTGGGCTGATAATATTGAGAGCACTATTATATTTAATTGTATTTATTTATTTAAACTTTATTGATCAATAAAATGTGGTTCAAAATGCGGATTTAATACTAATTTAGGCATTCTCTAGCAATCATATATTTACCATGTGCAAAGATACTCCATGGCAGTTAAAATAAAAAATAATAATTCAATTAATTGTTGTATTCTTTATTGATAGCGAAAATCTAAGCATTAAGCAATCAAAAACCTAGCTACCTAATCAAAAAGTACCTGTCCCCTATTACAATCTAGCCTAAATAATATATATTCTTTATTGCACTTAAACAACATTTGCGACGATTAGTTTAACAACTTGTTAGCAAGGGAGGGCTTATCTCTGAAAGAGATCTCTTCCAGCCAACCCAGTGTAGTTAGAGAGAAAATAATTTAATTTGGGTAATCCAGTGCAGGAAAGGTACCGGTGAAAATAATGTAAATATAGTAATTTAGTAAGTAAGTTAATTATTTCGATTTAAATTGCTACAAAATGTAATTGAACCTAGTTATGCAGAAAACAGTCTTATCTTACTGACATTCTAGGTGAAGTAGTCATTTCAACTCCAATATAATATGTAACGAAATGTGATTTATTGCATTAACAGGCGCGTATAGCTTTGGACGAGGCTCGGAAAGACGTGTCGCACTTCACAGGCGTCGCGAGTGACTATCGTGAGATCTGCGCTAGACTCGACCGCCAGCTACATACTTTGCAGGTAGGCAGTTCGCAGATGTTTTATTAACCACTTAATGCGAGGGTTTTTCTGTGAAATGAGATTGACTGACGCATTGGCACTAAATTCGAATGAGCATACAATAAATATACATTAAGCTCTATGAAATACAAACTGGCGAGAAGGTATCGCTCTAGATAAAAATATAAACATAATGTTTATAAGTGGCGACAGGTACTCAGGATAGCGTAAATCGGAACAATTTTGATGCGCGTGAGAGTTTCGTTCGAAATGCTTAAGTGGTTAAGCCTTACATGCTTTTATCTCCCACATGCTTTAGCCATTATAACCATCATGCCGCACATACATTGAGTCCCTTGCACCATATATTAGTCTACAAATACCATTCCACATGTGCTCTAAACTCCACATGTCCCATATCCCACACGTTACAGGTTTCTATATACAGGATATGAGAAGTGTGGAGTTATATGCTATAGGCTTTAATACCTATCATGTTACATACAATTTGTAATTTTATATATATATATATATATATATATATATATATATATATATATTTTTGTAAATATTTATTTATATTTGTTATATTATTATGCCAATAACGTCGGATGAAGATATTAACGATGATTACTTGTCGTTGGAAAGCACGATGAGTGATGATAGTTTTCAAAGTGCTAACTATAACTCCCTTACCGATGTTTTGATTACAGAATTCGCTGATGTACCTAAAAACTTTAACGCGGTACACATTAATGCGCAAAGTATTCCAGCACATCATTCCGACATGCTTCTTACTTTCGGTAAAAACAAAAACATTCATGCTATCCTAGTATCCGAATCCTTCCTTCATCCATCATTACCATCTACCTCATATTCTCTTCCCGGCTTTATTTTACTTCGTAATGACCGTATTTCTTCGTGTCATGGTGGTGTGGCTATTTATCTCCGTAGCCACATTCCGTACGCAATAATAAGCAAATCTCCGCAACCTCCTCCCCCGAACACAGCTGAACACCTTTTTCTTGAGATTACTCTCTCTAATACCAAAGTCCTTCTTGGAGTTTACTATAGTCCAAATCTAACTATTAACTACTTTCCTTCTTTTGAAAATCTTCTTGAAAATTTAAGTGCATCATACAGCCACTCCATTATTATGGGAGATTTCAATACCTGTCTTCTGAAGACTGACTCTCGTGCTCGCTGTCTCCAAAATATTATGAAATCCATCAACATGACTATACTTCCTCTGAATGCTACGCATTTTTTTCCAAATTGCACTCCATCCCTTCTAGATTTAATAATGGTAACCTCTCTTAATCACGTTGCGAGACATGGTCAAATTAGTGCAGATGCTTTCTCCTATCATGATCTCATCTACCTTTCCTATAAAATCCGACCTCCTAAACCTAAACCTAAAATCCTTTTGCAACGAAATTTTAGTGGTATGAAGATCGAGCAGCTTCGTGAGGATGCGTCTAGAATTGATTGGACAATCATCAATGAGGCTGACACTATGGACGCAAAAGTTGAAATTTTTAATTCTCTTCTCATACAACTTTATGATGTTCATGCACCAGTTCGTCGAGTCAGACTCAAGCATCTTCCTGCTCCTTGGCTCACTGATGATATTCGCCAGCTTCGAGAAAAAAAGAACCGAGCCAAGGCATGTTATAAAAATGACCCTGCCAATTCAAGAAAACGGGATAGATATCATCGTGTGAGGAATCATTGCAACATGATGTGTAGAGATGCACGGCGGCACCATATTCATCAGTCCGTTGAAAATGAAGACCAAGCTAAAGTTTGGAAATTTCTTAATTCAATGGGAGTTGGCAAATCTCGAAATACAAACATTTCTAATGATCTTGATCTTGACATGATCAACAGTCATTTTTCTTCTTCCTCCTGTCTTGACAATGAAGTCAAAACTAATACTATAAATTATCTTTCTTCTTTATCCACTCCCAGTCACACTCCTTTTGTCTTTAATCGATTTACCGACTGTGATGTTAAGAGAGCTACATTATCCATTACCTCTAATGCTATCGGAGCTGACGGTATTAGCCGTAAAATGATCATTCCTTTGTTAGATCTCCTTATTCCCATTATATCCAGTATCCTTAATTTTTCCATTTCTTCTGGTTCTTTCCCTCAATGTTGGAAAGATGCCCACATCGTCCCCATACCAAAAAAAGCTAACCCATCTTCCTTTAGTGATTATCGACCTATTTCATTGCTCCCTTTCCTATCTAAAGTACTTGAACGATTAATTCATTGGCAATTGAGTTCTTTTATTTCAGTAAACAGCCTTCATAACATCCTTCAATCTGGTTTTCGTCCTGGTCATAGCACGGCTACAGCTCTAGTCAAGATTTCTGATGACATCAGATTTGGTATGGAAAATCGGCAACTTACTGTGCTAACATTATTGGACTTCAGTAATGCTTTTAATACTGTCGATTTTGATGTCCTGCTTGGAGTCCTCAGCTCTCTTAACATATCTCCAGCGGTAATTGATTGGTTTCACAATTACCTGTATGGACGTCGGCAACGTATTAAGATTGAACAAAACACTTCATCGTGGTGTGACACTATGGCCGGCGTACCGCAGGGTGGTGTGCTGTCACCTCTTTTATTTGCCATCTTCATCAGCTCGATAACTCTAGAAATATCTTCTTTCTACCACATGTATGCAGATGATTTGCAAATATATTCACAGACTGCTTTTGATAACCTTGCTCAAGCTATAAACCAAACTAACCATGACTTGAGGCGGATTCTGGAATGGAGTAGGTGCTTTGGCATTCGGATTAATCCAGATAAAACGCAAACGATTATTATTGGTAGCCCCGCTTACATATCCAAGTTAGATATATCTAAATTACCTTCAGTGGAGTGTAATGGTGTTTGTGTCCCTTTTAGTGAATCTGTCAAGAATCTTGGTATTTACTTTGATTCCACTCTATCTTGGAGGTACCAAGTGACCGAGGTTAGCAGGAAGATGTTCGCTGCTTCTGCGTCGCTTCGAAGACTTAGAAACTTTCTACCTACAGCCACTAAAATTTCCCTAGCTCAATCCCTCCTACTCCCTATCCTTGACTATGCAGATGTCGCTTATCCAGATCTAAATATTGATATGCTAAATAAATTAGAACGACTTCAAAACCTCTGCATACGATTTGTTTTTGGTCTGCGCAAATTTGATCATGTATCGCACTATCGCTCTCAGCTTAAGTGGCTTCCCATACGCCGGCGAAGAGATTTACATACCCTCTCTTTGTTACATAATATTCTTTTTAACCCTGGTGCACCTGCCTATCTTAAAGAACGTTTTAAATTCATCTCCTCTACCCATACTTTAACATTACGTTCTTCCGAAAACCTTTCCCTTATGACACCTGCTCATTCCACTAAATTTTATCACAATTCCTTCACTGTTTCTAGCATTAGGTTATGGAATTCATTGCCTGTTGTTATTAGAAGTACAAAATCCATTGATTCTTTCAAACGACAAGTGAAAGATTATCTTTTCTCTATCTGATTTTTCTTCATTTAAAAAATTGGCATTCTTTATTTATGTATTTATATAATTATTTATTTTATGATAGTTTGTTTTCCTTGTGCCTATAATTATTAATATGTATCTTAGCATTGGGTACATATTTGACATATATGCATGGGATTATATAATTTTGTTTGATTGATAGGTATATGTATGTGTGTATGTATATATGTATGTGTATGTATATGTATGCGTGTGTATGTGTATGTATATATTTGTATGTGTATATGTATGTGTATATGTATGTATATATGTATATAATTTTTATATATTTTTAATTTGCAAAAGATGCTTTTTTTTAATTATAAAGCACTATTATACCTACTTGTACAACAATTAGTCCATTACCTTAAGGTTGTCTTGAAAAGATTGCTCTCAGCAATAAGACCGCCTTACTGTACTTATACAATCGTATCGTTATGTTTGTAAATTGTCTTGTTTATTTCCTATATTGTATAATGCAAATAAAGTATACTCATTCATACATTTCGACTCATATCTCATACGCTTAATCCCACACGCCCCATGCTATGGACCTCATACGTCCATAATTCCTTACACATGCTCTATGCTCCCTACATATAACAATGATATAAAAATGTATTAATTAATTTTCATTTCAGGAGTATACGAAGGATTGTGTCAATTGTAGCTTAAAGTTGGCACAAAAGGATAACAAAGAAGGTAAGATTTAATTTTAATGTATTTCAATAATTTTGTAAATGGAATGTTTTTAAATAAATATTTGTTGTAAAAAAATACATTACACTAGTATGTACCAGTGTGTCTTCAGTTACTTCATATGTTATTCTAAAAACGTAAAGGTGTAAAAAAAAACTGGCCCTTATTTCGTATCTTTATTTTAATACCTGAATTCCCTCATTGTATTCTTAAAAGTACGATTGTGTTTAGAATCGGAACAGGAAGGTGATGAGAAGGAGGAGGGGTTTAGCGACACGGAGGCGCAGCTGCGGCAGCGCGTGCGCGATCTAGAACTAGAACTCGCTCAAGTGAAGCTCGCACACGTGCAAGCTCAGTGCAGCAATCAGGTATGATTAATTAATGTTTGATTTGATAAATCAAATTAATGAACTACAGTATTGTACACCTTGAAAAGGTCAACAAAAAAGTCCGCGTTGGTATATGTCTATCTCTTAAGGATAACTCACAACAACCATTTTTTATCCTTTACATTTTACGGGAAAAAAATGGCTTATTTACGAAGTGATTTTAAGCAATACAGCTATAATTATTATCCAATTAAGTACCTTAATACATTATCCATTTAATATAGATCAACATGGCCCTTTACAGCATGTAATTTAAATGAATATTTTCGAAGATATTATAGATTTAAAATGCAGGGACATAGCGGTGCAGCGGTACCGGCCCGGCCGGCGGTGCGTGCTTATATAATAGCGCATTGAAGGTCGCACTTCGTACTATAGTACTTTATCATGTTTGTATTGTCTAATGACAAAAAAGCTGTAAACGTTATTTATAAGGATATTCTGTAGTAGGTAGGTAAAATGACAAAAAATGCGATAGAAATATGTAGAAAACAACCATAACAGGTTGACTCCCCACCACGTTGAATTCTGATATGCTTGACATGTGAAGATGTCGACAAATGTCTCTGATTGCCCAATTAAGGATTACGGTCGTAAGTATATTTTTATTGCAAGTAACAAATTGATAGACTTCCTAATGGAAAATGGGCATACGCTGCTTTGGTGTTCACAGAACTTTTCGTATAAACCGGTTTTATACCCCAAAAGGGATTAAGATAGTCCAATGGTAATGATATTTTTTGGGAAAAAACCTTTCAATTTTATTAATATTGTTGCTGGATTTCGGCTGCTTAATATTGATATATAATATGATATTTCAGGAACTGAGCCATCAACTGAACTCAGCACTGAACGAAATGCAAACGGCCATGAACCAGCGACAGTCGGTAGCGCCCTGGCTCGTTCGCACACTCAGTAAGTAGTATTCGCGGGCAACCGTATTAACTGTTTGTCTTGTGTTCAACCAGTTTTTTACGATTAAATTGACAACTTTATACCTCTTATGTTTTAGTATGTCTAATTGTGATAAGTAATTTTATTTTATTTTTTAATTTTTTGTTTTATATTTTATTTTGTTTTATTAATGTAGTAATTTTTTTATGTAACTTAGAATGGCAAATAAGCAAAATTAATAAAAAAGAAAAATACAGGTTCTCTGTCACATAAATCAGACAAATTCAGTTAAAAGGTTTTATAGCTTAAAGCCCGTGATACATATGCTTTTTGCTGACACAAAAGCATGTTAGATACTGACGAAAATAAGCATGTTTCACGTATCTATACAATGCACGGAGATCGCATGCTGTTTTTTTTTTCTTTGATAAAAAGTGGGTGTACTTACAAGCAGAAGCCACACATTTTTATGAAATGAAATGCAAATATGTATGTATGGTAGTAGTATGATGTGTATGACATAAGTTTAATGACACGTGTCATTTTATGATAAAATATTTAAGAACGGAATGCATGCATTGTGTTTATTGTCATTCTTTTTTGCCACCTACGTGTACGTCACGATATACATGAAAGCGATCCAGTTTGTGGTTTCAGTATATCCAGAAAAAAGCTATAACTTGCTTGATTTTTAATATAAGTATTTTATATTTTATTTATTTTATCTCCTGTGAACGCTCAGGCTGTGGAATGAGCTCCCAGCCGAGGTTTTCTCTAGAGCATGGGGTCTTACAAAACAGGTGTATTAAGGTTTCTTTAGGGTCAACAACGCGCACGTGACTATATTGCAGGCATCCATAAACTACAATAACCGGTTACCATCCGGCCAGCTGTATGCTTGATTGTCATATTCCTGGTATAAAAAAAAGAACAGATATGACTTTAATGATATTGAAAAAAAAATTAAATTGCCTAAACATGCATTTGGATGCCCTAAATATTTCGTATATAATTTCATATAATTGCATCAATTATAGTTTAGCAACATAGTAGAATTAGTTGTTTATGTTTAACAATATGCATGGGATCCTGTTTGTTGATCAGAGTCGGACTAACGTCTCCTGAAACACACCTAGTGTAACCTCGCCGTGCAATGTAACAGTATGTACTTACTATTGCCGTTTGTTTTGTTTGCTTTTGTTGTGTGTCTTATATATTTTAGTTTTTAGCAAAGTAAAATAGCTTTTTTTTTTTTAAATTGAAAACGTTATAAAAAAAAGGAAAAGTTTCATGATACAAAATTTCCATGAAGCAGACAAATGAGATAGAAAAGTTAAATAAAGTCATAAATATATTATTGAATTACCATAAAAAGTCGCTACATCAATTTGGTTTATTTTACTACAGTTCTGCATATAACTGTTATTTGTTTAGCTGCCATTAAATTAATTTTATTATTATTAATTGTACTTTTTTTTTACTACAGTGAAGAGAGTCCAATATAAGTAGGTTCACTGTATTTTTTTGTGTGTATATTTAATGATCTATTCGCCAAATTTGAACAAATTTTGATGACTCTTTTTGTAATCTGTATGGTTTATTCACGTCTTAATTACAATTGAAATCGCTTTGATTTTGTAGAACAAAGTTTTATAACTTTAGAACAAATAAAAAAAATATCAATATATTGAGTATCCTAGTAGCTACCGACACCAGTCTCTCACAAAGATTGTTTTAAATTGTAAACTTTAAAGCTGTAAGTTTTATTATGTTGTTATTTTGTGAGAGAAATAAATATATATTTATTTACTATTAAAAAAAAAGTTTTGGCTTCAAATAATTCGAGCGAAAGAATGTTTTAGTTGTTGCGTTATTCAAATAACTGTAATTAATATTTGACCATTGTGTTATTAATATATATATATATATATATATATATATATATATATTGTATTAATTGAGTCATTCACATTGTAGATGACTTTATGATATTCATTTCATTATTATCATGTTGAAGTGCAAATCATACATTTAAATCATGTTTGTTACTCCATTTATAGGTCATTAACCCGATGTATCAAGTCACCAGTGTGGAGGTGATTGCATTTACTACATATATACATGTTTTATTGTTAGTTTCTCACCATATTATTATGATATCTGTATTCTGTAACATTTAAGGGACTAAACAAACTATTTAACCAAAATCTCTTATTCTTAATTTAGTTTTGTACTCAAAAGAAAGTGTTAAAACACTTCTATATTGAAATATTTTTTTATTATTCTTTATTTTACATTTGTATTTAATATATGCGTGAATTTACTGGGTACAGAGGAATAACACCTGAATCCTCAGGAATGGCAACGCATGGGGGGTATCATGGGTGAAACTGTCTACTCTGTTATGTCCATGGTACTGCTCATGTCTATAGGCGACAGTTACCACTTTCCATCAGGTGGGCCGTCAGCTTGTTTGCTATTCTAAGTTGTATAAAAAAAAAATGTTTTCGTAAAATTAATTACTAAATAATCTCATACTTTTTTCGATTGATTTTGATTGATTGATTCGATTTTAAAAATCTTTCCAAATTTCCAAAAATTGCCAAAATTAGTTGATTATGATAATTTGGTAAGGCAACACAAGTATATTACAAATATTGCACTAATAATTATTGGTAAATACATTTATTGTACATAATAGTATAAAAATATATTTTGTCTATGAAGACAAATTTCATAATAACAATTGGTGTAGTTGGTTTATCCCTTAAATGTCGTGTCATCGCCAACTATTTCATATTGTTTTATTTTCAATGTTGCTTGTTCTATATGCTTATTTTCTGCCTCATATTAGGACTTACCATTTTAATTTTTATAATTTATATAAATATATAGTTATAGAATGATATATCAGTATTATTCTATTACTGTGTATTTATATTATATGTATTATAACATTTAATTGTTTAAACAATGATGATGAATTAGTAATCTATAAATATCTATTAAAGTAAAGTAATAAGTTTTTTATTCAAATACATACTTTGAAGTTGAGTTTTTCTTAATAAATTTTCTTCTTTGTCGATGACTTTGGTCCATTAAATTAGTTGTCCAGACATTAAATTAGTTTAATAACTATTAACTAATGAGTGTCTATTTCTTTCTAAGATTCCATCATGGAAGCGACGCAGACACGACCCACTTTCCAAACGTACGTCCCGAGCACGAACCAAGAACAACCTCAATTAAATAGACAAGGCTCGTTCACTAATATACAGAGCAACAGCCAAGCGAATCTAAACAGACGCGTCTCGGACCCCTACAGTCCAGATGTCGTCCGGAGGAAGAAGGATATCAACGCCAAGAGGCACTCTATGCTTGTAGAATCCAACCTTGCGAAAGAGGCAAAGGAAAACAACCGACGGAGCCACGATGTTACCAGCATTAAAAAACTCTCAATGGGTTGACACCACCGTTCCATTTACAAAATTTGGGGCATCTGAGTTGTTCGGCGTCGTACCTCCAACGTCTACTATCTATGGTCACAGTTATGTAGACGTGCAAATGTCTTATGTTTGTATTTAATTTTTTTTTGTGTTTAACTCTAATGATTGTGAGTGATATTTGTCGTAATACGGTTATTTGAAGTGGACATTAATATGAACAGTTTATGTGAAATTCATGCATGTGTTTACGCCCCTCAGTCATGTTCATGTTACAGACAATACGGAGGGTCTATATTTACAAGATAATTATTATATAGGTATGATTTAATTAAGGATCTGTCATTTAAAAGAATATTTCATTCATTGATGTCGTAACCTGTAGGGTGCATCTAATAACAAGACTATTGTTTACTATCTTACTTTCAGCTAATACTTTTTATTTCCTTTGCCTTCTAATATAGTCGTCTGGTATTGTTAGGCAAATAATGTGAATTTTATACACGTATATAACAGTAATAGTACACATATAATAAATAGGCTGTTATATAAAACTGTCACTAGTCATTATTATTTATTTACGCAAAGTTCATAAAATAATATTATCCTAAAAGAAATTAAATTACATTTTTTTTTTTGTTAATATTATTATAAAGGCGATTAAATTACTGAAATAATATGTTTAAAGTATTAATTTTGTAATAAAACGCCACTTTTAAGAAACTACGAAGCTAAAGAAATGGTAGCTAACAAATTTAAAGGATTACGCGTGTTATTGGTATTATATGAACTTTTTAATGCACATTCATTTCGTGCGATGTGTATTTATTTCTAGCAATGTGTATATATATTTTTTTTTATTAAGTGTCGACCATTCGGCCACAACTCAGACTTAAGGGCTCTTGCTCCATTATGCGCTATATGAAGTAAAACAAGTAGATGAGTAGCTGATTATAAACATAGGTTAATCCGTAAACAACGCGAATACCTTTATTAATGGAAACCATGCGTGCAACTAATAAACTGTGATGATAATAAATAGTGGTAAAAATGCTATTTATTGATAGCCTACATTTTGTAGCAAGCTCTTTCAATAGTACCATGTCTAAAGTATTTTTTTGTCAACCATTTAAATCTTTTTAAGTATACTTCATGTAGGAACTTGAAATTTAAGCAGAATCCTTTAGTAGGCTTTTTGGGTATACACAAAAAAAAAATTGCACGTGAATAACGCATACAGTTGTGATATCTATTTGTAGTCGAGTTCGTGGTCGTGACCATTCTGTAAAAGGGCCGCGTGCCCGGTCCTGTCATAAAGCAATGTATATTTTTAGGTTTTCATTATTTCGAAATAAAGCTATTCAGTAATTTACTTTTTGCAAGATCTGATGCCATAGCTAGTGCCTTTGCGTTTGTATAGGTTAAGTCTAGTTTATCCATGAGTTTCGTTTTGCTTATGAATGTATTAAGCGAGTCTGAACGACCCAGAAAACTTGATATTATATTAAATGGAAATATAAAGTAAATAGTATTATTCTATATAAATAAAAGTAGAAATCGTCTATCGTAACTGATCGCACATTTAAAATATCTTTGTCTAGAAACAAGAAGTTTTCTATTGCATGTGCACGTAACAAAACTTAAGCCACTACGGGAGATAACGGGTTCGCAGTGGCGAAGCTGTATTTTAGTTAGTTATGTATATTATTGTATGCTTTATCCAGATTTTTAATTATGAATATTCTTTCTAATACATTTAATATTATTTTTAATTATATTGTTATCATATAAAAAAAATAATTAATTGGGGTTCCTTATAAAATTTAAGCGACAACGGCATATAACTTGTTAATGGGACACTGCTTTATGTGATCTAAGTTTTTAATATATTTATTTATATTCTTTCTTATTTTTTATAAAATTATCATATTATTTTATGAGCTGTCTAGTGAGTTACTGAACTATTAATTTTATAAAAAAAAAAACCTATATCTGACGGGTTTCTCTTGTTGTTACTATAACATCGTAAGTAATTAATTAATAACGACTAATTATGATTATTTAAATTTGTAATGTGTAAAGTAGAATATTATAACTATGAAATATTTGAAATAAAATATATTTAAAAATGTAATAAAAATATAGTAATGCAATTTAGGAATTATGGGTGTCGTGAACGGGTCGTTTGTAAAGGGACAATTCTCTCGCGTACAGACCAATAGCTGCGTGAAACGAAACGATTTTCGTATATTTAACGATTAGGAATTCTTCTTCAATTCTTTTATTTTACTTGTGACAACTCGATTTATCATTTAATTACTGAGAAGAGTACATTTATGGTGTAATGATCATTTGATAATGATGTATTAGCGGTATCTACTTACTATGTCATCACCACCGGCCACTGGAAATATATAAACTTTTTATCAAAAATTGCGAAAAAATACCCAAATTGACAATGTTGGCACTGTTATTCAACCATTAGATTGGTTATTTGCCGACTATTCTCTGACTCTTTTTGGGCATTTTTATCACTGTCTTTGGTGCATCGTCCATTTTTCCTCCAAGCCAAGTTTCCTCCTGACTATACTTGATATAGAGTTATTAGAATTTTCTTTTATTATATAGTCTTTGGAAGGGTTTGGAACTTCTGATAGTAATAGTGGTGGTCAATCTTCGAATGTTAGCAGTTACATACATACTAACGTTAGTGGAATTCAACAAAATAATTTTAATCAAATAATTAATAATAATGTAATTCTTTTACTACACATATGAAAGTTTATTTTCACGAAATTTAAAACGACTATCGAGTAAAATAAAAGGACAAGAAGGGTTTAAATGTTTATTTTAATTTATTTAATGTGTGCACAAGAGGTTATTATAAATATTGATTGGTAGAGATTACACTAATTCGTTTATTGCCTCTAAAATGATAAAGACTATATGTGTCTCGAAAGGTCTTGCTTAAAGTGTTTTAATGCATCAGTAATATAAAATTGCCTTTATTTTTTACATATGTGTTCAAAAATTAGTGATTTGTTTTTTTTTTCGATTCTTGTCATGCATCTACATCGTTTCTTTGTGCGTTCGTAGTAAATTCTTTTTGAAGAATTATGTATTGATTATAATTATAGCTCAATTAGTATTATTGGGAGTATTATACACTATTAAACATTATGTAAAAATTATATGACGGTTAGTAAAAAAATAAAATTATAATAAAATAATTTTACCTCAAAAGATTTACTTTACTGCAAAAGCTTAATCCAAAATACTCTTGGTCTAATATTTTGTTTGATGTCTATTTAATTAATAAATAAAAGTAATTAATGAAACGATTTCTTTAGAATAAAAAGGAAAATTCAAAAACCGTTCGAGACATATTTTGTCTTATTATTATTATTTTTTTTTATACATAAAATAATTTATCTTTCATTGTTCACATTAGTGCTATTTATTTGTTAGCGGGAAATAACTTGATGAAAACCATAGACAACGAATCTTGCGCAGTAGACGTTTATATGTTACTGAGCAAGTCACGTGGTATGAAAATTATGCTCAAGTTATTTACCAATATCCATATCGCCAGTTACCAGGTTTTCGTGTAAAGTTCATTGTCTCTTATGCATTGTGTAAGATTGTTAATACACGTTAATACTAAACATTTTTCTATAAGGTACACCACAACTGCATTATGTCATGTTTTAGAAGTTATATGCACATTCCTATAAAATAATTTCAATGGCCATAACTCTTCTAAGTTAATGCAAAATAATTACAATATTGTATAATAGTTACCCGTCATATAATAAGCTTGTGTATTCTTTTATATTGCACCATATAGTCAATAGAAGAGGTGCGCACAGAAAAATATTACACAGGCGGCGCCGGAATTTCATATAAAATTACTCTAGCGGATGAATATTGCAATTACTTTTTGGCGCCATTTGTATAATTTTGCAATTGCAAAATATTAATTAATACGATATAAAAAGTTTTTAATTTAATTTAATACATTAATGATATTATATGGAGGCCAGATTATGATAATTTTATTAGGTATTGATTTTGAATACCATATAATATCTAGTACCTGTATAACCGCTCTTATGATTTTTTTTAGTTATTTAACTTTTAGGTAATGCTAAGTATTGGAAACATTCTATAATATATCAAAATCGACAATAACATATTAATATTTGGTGTTTTGTATGTTGTACATTATGTAATCGCAGAATTAACAATATCAGTTGATAATACCTAAAAAAATAAGAAAGAAAAGGCCTCTTTTACTAAGAATAGCAAAAACGTATTTTTTTATATGATTTTACATCACACTATGTTACTTACATTGATTTAACATGTTGTGGTACTCTTGATGTCCAAGCCTGTATCTCCGTACTTTTAATTTCATTGCTTTGCATGACTGTATTTTGATTTAAATATACCATATATTGAAATTACTTTAGTGAAATTATTTTGTACGGAGACAACACAAAAAAATGAGGCTACTATTCCAGACGTAGTTGTTTATAATTATTTTAATATGTAGTATGTTTTGTTATATTGTGTATTTAAATTTTATATTGCTAAGCAGCTAGTTGCCCTATATAATTAAAGAAATATATGTATGTATGAATGTATGATGATGAAATAAGGACATCTTAGTCCTCAATAAATGTAACGCACGAGAGGTACCATATATGCATCAGTGTATTCTGTATTGTTTATAATAATATTATTGTTCTTCTATGGTTCTTGTTTATAAGCGACTGTTCTCACTTTTCAGAACTGTCAACTTGTTTGTCATTCAAATTCATATAAAAAGCTACAAAAAAAAAAAATGTTAGTACATAACGTCCATGCTATTCTTAATAAAGAGTAATTTGTAAACAGTATCTATGAATGGCGTGAATTTACTGCGTACAGAGGAATAACACCTGAGTCCTCAGGAATTGCAACGCATGGGGGGTATCATGGGCGAAACAGTATACTCTGTTATGACCAATGGTACTGCTCATCTCTATAGGCGACGGTTACCACTTTCCATCAGGTTGACCGTCAGCTTGTTTGCCATTCTAAGTTGTATATAAAAAAATCTTTTCTATCTTCTATATTATATTTTTTTAAACCCAAATTTATGTTGAGCACTATCACTCATTATATTGGAAGTTTTAATATATATTCGATTGGTTGCTTTATCTTATAACATTTAAGATATGCCATATAAACCATAATAGCAATGTGTCAAGATATTATTAATTTTACTCATTTAATTTTAATTGTTTATGATGTAAGGCGTTTTTCTTTTGATCTCTAATGTGGTATTACGAAATTATTTATATTATACGTATTCTGATTCGTATTTTCGTTGTAAATTATTGAATACAACTAACAAAATATTTAGCGGTTGATTTTTCTTCAAATCGTCATACCTACATAGAGAACTAATCCTGATCTCTGTTATTTGATGTTTTTTTTTTCAATGTGAATTACTTTAAGTTATATTTACTCAAAAGTTATTTAATGTATGTGTGACCAATTCGAATATTTATAAGTAATGGAGTCCGAATGGAAAAATGTGCATGCTATTCTGAATTCAGAATGGACGTGGAATAGACTAGAATTCCACGCTCCATCCATTTCAAATACTATAACCCTATGTAAACGCTTACGACTGTTAATGCTTTCAACAGTGTTGTAGGTGGGGACATTATGTTCTAACATAGAATAATATTAAATAAGCTTTATAAATAACGCCAGATTCATAGATTAGTGATGCAACGTTAGAGTGAGTTGTATTCGCTAAGACAGTGTTGTTTTAGTCTGTCATTTATTGAAATAAACATTTTACAATGGCATATTTGTTTTATTTGCTTTGACATGTTTCGCTGATTTTGTGTTTGTATTATGGATAAAATAAAAGATATGGAAATTGTAGTAAGTTATTGAGTTATCAATAGCGGAAAATAGTGCTCCATTCATATGGGTACAATTTGTTTCATAGTGACATCTAGTGTTGAATAATCGTAATTCCGCTATTCGTTACTAGAGGTTGCTACATGTCAACATAGCAAACCAATGGCTAGATATTTAATTAAAAATTTATTATAAAACATAGTCAAGAATTAAATGTGGAAATGTCTGATCATATCCATGCAACTAAATAAGTTAATGTTAATAAAAGTTAATTTCGTTAATTAGATTATTTTCATCTAGTTAACTTACCAGCAGTGTTAGCAAGGTATCAGTGAGAAATGATACCCATGTAAGGATGAAGATAGATCAGTTAATCCATTGTAATAAAATCATCAGGAATCACAGTGAGAGTTTAAGTGCTTATACAGGAGAACAATAACAGTTCTATCACAGTATCAAGTGATGACAGTAATAGTACTTACTACAGTACAATATGGACACTCCCTATGATTTGACCTGACCCCCTGATTTCCTTTAAAATACTCGTCAGCTCTCATACTGTAATGGATTTCTCTAGTTATTCTATTGTCGTAAAATATATCGAAGCGCGCGTTTTTTCCCGCGCTGTCCTTAACTACATTAATTTTATAGATTGTTTTAGAGAAATGACGTCTCAGAATTAATCCCATTGTCACACGTATAGACATTACTTGTTTATGTAGTAGTGACGTGTAGATCATGGCGTTTTTGTATTAAGTATCCGAGGAGTGGTTCCATCTAATTCTTCGTTAGATTTGTTGCTTGCTTCTTTCCCACGATAATACGATATTGAGAGAGAAGGACAGAAGCTTATTTACTAATAGTTGTACAACACAACAAGACACCACGCCGGCATACACAGAGAACCAGTGTATGCCAGCTGAAGAACCCAGCAACCCGGAGGTTGTCGCCTCCGGAGTTGGAACTGGGGTAGAGGGGTATACCCCGAGGCCCCTACCTCGCCCATCATCTGGTGGGCATGAGAAGCCCTTGTTGATTGATTAATTGACAACACAACACAATACGATTTTATTAATTTTATTGTAAGTGTTAATATGTCTAAGTGTATGCATAGATTCATTATCTAATATCAACAAATAAGAACACCCGTACTAGCCCGTGTGTCGTAAGAGGCGACTAAGAGAACGCGATGGTAGAGGGATGGGCAGCAGCGTCTCTCTTAAAATATCATGAAAACTAATTGCGGTTGCCAACCTGTTTGCCAAGCGTGGCAACTATTGGCAAGTTCAGTTAACGGCTGATATGGTATATAAATTAGGGAGTAATGTCGTTGTGTGTGTCAGTTGCTAAGAGCAAAAAATATCTTTGGTCACCTGTATCGTTCTTATTCTTAACAGTAATATAAATATAGTTTCAATACAAATCAAGAATATACTAGACTCCCACGCATTAGAAGCTCACGACAGCCAGCGTGTCGTGACGCAGATCTGCGCTATAAACAGGTCGTACCTATATTAAGATAGATAATATAATAATGGGCATTGCATCTATAGCTAATGAGAAAAATTATAAAGTTTTAGAAATATTATTCAAACATCTAAATTATATTCTGATAATTATGGTGCAATTGAAAAAATTTTAAGTGGATGGGATTTGGGCCTGCACTTTACATGTCATATCGGGACCAGTGATCTGGCCATATTAACATAATAAATTTAATTGTTCTTCAATATGCTGTCAGTACTTAAGTTTTTGTTTTTAACCTACTGTTTATAACTTTAGTTGATTTAGGTACTAAAACTAAAGGTACTAAACTATAATTATACTATGTAACTACTAGCTGACCCGGCATACGTGGGGCGAAAGGGATTGTTAGCAATGGAGTTTGATAGCTCCATTGCTAGCAATATGCCCTATTAGGTCGACCTCCACGTGGTTCCCGGGGGAAAAGGATTGTTAGTAATGGAGACTGAGAATCCCCTTGCTAGCAACATACCCAACCAGGTCGACCTCCTCGCGTTTCCCCCTGGAAACTATCACGGTTAATTCCTAATGAATTCATCATGATGGGCTAACTGGCCTGTTTTCATTCTCATCTATCACCCTTCACTGGTGCTCCGCCAGCGTATCCCGTTAGCGCTATATTGCTAGCAATGGGATTCTCAGTCTCCATTACTAACAATCCCTTTCCCCTCGATTTATGAGGTTTAGGAGTTATAAGGTAACTAACATAAAAAAAATACAAACGAATCGAGAACATCCTTCTTTTTTCGGTTGAAAAGCAAGTACATAGCTTACATAAAAGGTTTGTCCGCGGACTTTGTCCGTCGTATTGGGTTTTTAACAGCAGCGTGAGTTCAATGGGTTCGATTGGTTATTTCATAATAAATGTGTAGAATAGTTCATTATCTAATAGTGAGTGGTCTTATTTTTATATTGAAAAGTTAAGAGATTTATATAACAACAACAATGTATCTACTTGGTTAATATAACAGTTTTCGATTTGTTTTATAAATGTGTAAATATATTTTTTATTGTCTATCATTAAGAACAAGTAAAGTGATAATTTGTTTTGTAACATTTTTTTATCTTCAACCAGACTTATTGCACGAATTAGATCAATTTCTCGATAATCTTAGACGAGTAGTTAATTAAGAACACCGTTAAGATTACTACTAAATGTCTATTTTATAATTTTACTTAATACTAGCTGTATCCCGCGGTTTCGCTCGCGTAAATTAATAGATAAAATGTCCTGTGTTAGGATATAACCTATCCGTGTACCGAATTTCATTCAAATCCGTTCAGTAGGTTTTGCGTGAAAGAGTAACAAACATCTATCCATCCAGCCATCTTTACAAACTTTCGCATTTATTATATTGATGGGATTTTTTTTTAATAGAATATAATGAAAATGTAAATAAATATTAACTTACTTAACTAGATAGTCTGTTGGTGATATTCAAAGGTACTAATATAAAAAAAAAATCACTTGTTTCGATTCATTACTAATTTGATTTAAAGAGTTCCTGTAATAATTCATTCATTCAATTTGGTTACCTTTTCGTAAATTCTATTGAAAGAGACTAACACTAATTACTGGAGCGAGGGATATGGGGAAAGATTGTTAGTAATGGAGTCTAATTGCCCCATTACTAGCAATATACCCATATACCAAATATAATATACAATTTCCCCTGGAAAGCATAGTGGTTAATTCATGAATTCATCACGATGGGCTGACTGACTTGCTTTTATCCTCACCTATCATCTGCACTGGTGCCCCGCCAGCGTATACCGTACAGCGTATAGCGTGGAGCTACCATTTTATTTTCTCTCATAAAAACACACTAAGTACTATTACTTGTATTATTTCACAAATTATTTATTATAACTGACCGCTTTCAACTTTATGACATTTTCAAATGTTTACAGTTACCTTTGAAATGCCATAAAAGTGTACAATGTAGCTACAAGAGTTTATGTGAAATTACTATGTGTAATAGATACTTTTTCCGTATAGGTAGTAAAGGACTCATCAGTGATGACATCAGTGCAAGTGAAGGAAAACTTGACATTAAACCATATACTTATCACGCTATCCGCTCAGCATAGTAATAGGGGAGAAAGGAATTGTTAGTAGGGCCCCATTGCTAGCAACATTCCCTATCGAGTCGACTTCCACGCGGTTTTCCTTGGAAAATATCATGGTTAAATTTTGTGATATTCGTCACAATGGGTTAACTGACCTGCTTTCATCCTCATCTATCATCTATCACTGGTGTTCTGCCAGCGTATACCGATAGCACTTATATTCAAACTTATATCATGTTAATGTAACGTTAAGGTAAGATCCTCCAAAAATCCAACATGTACTAAGAATCAATACCGTCCTTACTATTTGAATGATGTAGATATAAGTGAGTACAACTTAATTAAAATCCTATTTATAGTTTTTTTTTCAATAGAAATTAGAACTAGATTATTGTTTGATAAATCGCAAATTCAAAGCAGTTGACCCATCGTGATGAATTCATCAAAAATTAACCACCATAGTTTCCAGAGTAATGGGTCTTTTACATTTCATTACTAACAATTCCTTTCTCTCACGCGGGGCAGGTTGTCATAAATTAGATATAGGTAATTTTGTATGGCAATCGCTACTTTGAATTACTTTTAATAGAAAGTACAAGGCACTTTCTTCCACGCACAACCACTCTTTGGAATCAACTTCCAGCAGCAGTATTTTCGAACCGATACGACAACATAACCTTCAAGAAAAGCATATTCCTTTTTAAAAGGCCGGCAGCACAATGCCTTTAGTGTTGTGGGTGATCATGGGCGGCGGTAGTTACTTGTCACCAGATGAGCCGCATGCTCGTTTGCCCCCTGTGTTGTAAAAAAAAAGAGGTGATATGAAGTTCGCTGAGTTTAGTTTCTAATAAAAAAATAACATAAAGAGAAAAGTGAATTCAGTAAATCCATAAAATTCTAGTCTCCCGTAAAACAGGTAGTTAGAACATACAAACAAAAATCGTATAATAGAAAATGTATCTATTATTGAACAGGAGTAATCTATTTCATACGTTTTTTTTTTTATAGATGATAATGAAGTGGTAACCCTACCTGGTATAGGTGAGAATGAAAAGACAGTTCAGTTAGCCCATCACAATCCATACATCTGGCATTTAGTACGATGGTTTCCAGTGAGAGCACGTGGAGGTCGACCTGATAGGGTACACTGCTAGCAGTGGAACTGGTAGTCCACATAACTGGCAATCCCTTCTCCAATTCATATGTCGGTGCGTTGACAGCACTACTGTGAGAATCCCGTTCCTTCCTGCTAACAAACGAAAGTTCGTTAAATTCCTCATAGTATTGCGATATGATGCATAGTAACAAATACTAACGGCTTATAGGTTATAAGTGTATGAATTTCA